ATTAGCTATACCGGGTGTCGCAATAAGGATGGTAAGCGGCTGCTTCTTGGAAAGTATTTGTTGTAGAGTGTTCGGAAAAAAACTTGAAGAAAAGAATTTGCTGAAAATTATTTTCAAATGCAAACAATGGCGTAATTGCAAGCGGCATTTTAAAAATTCGATTTTACACTGAAATTGTCCCGATAAGTTAAACATCTAGTAAGTTTAGTCAAAAGATCATAAAAAAACGTACTACTTTTCTTATGAACCTTTTTTCCTAACTTGTCAAATAAAGGGTGGGGAGAGAGTCAAACCGCTTAATGCAAAGAAACCTGGAACTCCGACATGGTTTTACCGATTTCAATCTGTTTACTATCAATTGAAAGAGCACTAAAAACTACGATATGTGATATAAAAACAATCTTAATCGTTTTCGAAAGATCACATATCGTAGAGTTTTTATTGCTCTTTCAATTGATAGTAAACAGATTGAAATCGGTAAAGCTGTGTCGGAGTTTCTTTGCATTAAGCGGTTTGACTCTCCCCTCACCCTTTATTTGACAAGTTAGGAAAAAAGGTTCATAAGAAAAGTAGTACGTTTTTTTATGATCTTTTTACTAAACTTACTAGATGTTTCACTTATTGGGACAATTTCTATATAAAATCGACTTTTTAAAATACCGTTTGCAATTACATCATCAAGCGGTCATCTCAGAAATTTGAAAATAATGTCTGGACATTATTTTCAAATATCAATTTGAAAATAATAAATAAATTCAACAATTTATTTTCTTCAAGTTCGTTATCAAATTTTTTTTCGAACACTCTACAAAAAGTACTTTCCAAGATACAGCCGCTTACCATCCTTATTGCGACACCCAGTATTACAGTAAGAAATTATTATTTTCGAGGTAAATAAATTCTGCATTAGCTTCAACAATTTTATAAAAAAAACCTCGAAAAAGTGCGAAAAAAGTCCAAGACAAGGAAACGCATTTCAATAAATCAGAGAATTCAATTTTTGTGCTATAAAATGAACAGTAGCACAATAAAGTTCGCAATGAATGAATTCTTGCGGCTTGACATTAAAGCGATCGTAAACTTATTACTCATGTAGGAAAAAACGGGTTTTCCCCCGAATTCTGTACAAAATTACGCATATAATTAATGCTAATATAATGCATAATAAAATGGCCATACAAAAGTATGAGCATTTTGGAAAACCCTGGACTAACATGAACTGGATGACCGCAAAAATCACATTTGTAGATGTAGTCTACAAAACTAGTAAAAGGCTTAAAGGGTTTCGAATACCAGGTGTTTTTTTTATACAACAAAACTGTCGCACCTTTTTACAGCATATTGCGTAGTTGGTTGAGTAGCTGAATTATATGTCGGAATGCATCCGGTTTCATTGAAAAATCAGCATCTATCAGTTTTATTTGTACCTTATAAGTTCCTAGCAAAAGCATGACTTTATTCATATAATGTGAAGTATTTGCTAAATTAGATTTAGAATTTAAAAAAATAAGATTATGCTAAATTAATCTTTATGCTGTGCTTATGGTGCATTAAATGCTTTTCCTTCGGTTGTCAAGCAAATGCTACGCACTTTTTATCATATACTTCGAATGTTTGCTTTCAGAAGAAAGCCTTTGGTACTACTTTATTCATGAGACCCAATGTTGAACTAAATTTCCTATCCATTTGCATTCAGTTCTATTTATATTTTTTTTATTTAAAAAAAGTATTGTCCGTGTCTACTTTAAATACAAATCAATTGAATTTTCATTTGTCAACGATCCACGTGGATGTACAGAGCTGTTCGAACTTCAGTTATCTGAGTACTTCGAATCCGAAATGAGCTTAATTCGTTTATTAGTCACTCTTTATATTTTCATATTCCTAGTGGCTTATCTAATTGTTGTGACCGTTTTATTCTATATATTCAGCACTTTAGAAGAGCCCGCACGAAATCAACGCTAAGTGTAAGCAAATTTTTCTTTTACTGTTAGGTATTCACCTTCTTTGGCCCTGCGTCTTAATCACATTTTCCTGCCGTGGAAATTTGTGTGTTTAAAATCCTTAAATGAAGCTTTGAATCATAAATGCTCAAGCACCGTTTTTTTCGGATTTTGATTAAATTGTCAATTTGAAAAGTCTCGTAGACGTTTTGTTGCCAGGTGACCAAACAGTTGTTCAGTTGTCATCGTTTGTGGTTTTTGTCAGTTGGAAATTCGAACGCTCATGAAAGTTGTTGAATTTGAGTGATTGTTCAACAAGGTACGTCCCCATTTCCTATACACGATCGACTTATCGATTTCATCCATAAATCTGTTGTTTTAATTTCACTTAATCTTGTTTCAGACTTTGGAATTTCATCAAAAAGTGCACAGTGATTTTGACATCTGGTCTTGGCATATTTGAAAATCATGGTGGTGTGTTGTAAGTACCTACACTTTTAATTTACCCCTTTTAGTATCTATCTTTACTGTTTCGCCAAATAATGGCCTATTTTTCGCTAGTTTATCGTCATATACAGGGCTATTGATCAGTAACGTCAATAGTGTCCAAGGCAGGGCTATCTAATCCTTAGATAAAAAAGGTATTTGATTGTGCCGCTTCTATTACGCTACTAAAAGCAGAGCCGGATTAACCTGTGGTAGGGCCCAGGGTTGCGATCCCTCCAGAGCCCCTTTTCTAAAAAAAATTGCAGTCTTAATCATTTCGAATGTGCAATCAGCCCGTGATTTATCACAAAAACGGAACTTGAGGGCCCGCGTAACAGGAAGCCCCAGAATTAAAAAAAACTGTTTTAATAATCTACTATTTAGGGCAGGTTCCAACCACTCAAGTTATGGTCACGGCGTATCGCGCTAAGTTTTTATTAGCCGTTTTTTGGTTGCTTCTTGTCTGTTCGGTTTCCTTTGTTGTTATTGCTTTCGTTGTTTTTTCTGCGCTCTTGCGCTTATTGGTTGTTGTTTTCAGCCCAGTTCGTGTCTTGGATGTGGATTTAAATTTTGATGATTCATTTATCTGAATTTGTTTAATTGGTTTGTTTTACATTTTAATGGCTCTCAATTTTTAAAAGTGTATAAAGCCTCAAAGAAAATATTTCCAATCTGGATCTATACAGGATGTCCAAGACAAGGATGCATTTTTGAGATGTTTAGAAAAACGTGATTTTTCGGATTGTCGTTTTTTCTCATTTTTGAAGTTATTTCGAATCATATCAAAAAATAAGAAATACTTTCACATGGCACCTTTTCAAGCTCTACAAGATGGTGTCTATGAAAATGTATTCCCACGTTTCGTTTCCTTGAAACCATCATCAACTTTTGTTTTTCATATGAACCGAAAAAAGTATCTACATAACGTATTTTAATAGCGAATTTAACGATGTATAACACAGTATGATTTATTCCGGTTATTGAGTATTGAGTATCTCTTACTAGAGGTGTGCGATTCGAATCTTTTGAGTGATTCATTCGTACCACACAGATTCGTATCAAGCAAAGTTTCGTACCAAGAGATTCGTTCATTTCGTATGGATAGAATCGACCGAATCCGCCAAAATTCGTATTAGTTTACATTAGGTACCGGTACCCATAATACTAAAACTAACGTGGTGGTACTTCCGTGCCAGCAGAGCGGATATTCTCTAAAGGAGGTCTAACAATTGATGAAAAGCGGCGAAGATTAAATGGCAATAAAGTGTTATTCATCAATTTTAATGCAAACATGTGCCAGTTTAATTATGTTTGTACATTCTATTATTTTTTAAAATATTCTTTTTAGTTAGATCTTATCTGTTGAGTATCATTTTATTTTGTAACACCAAATAATTAATATTTAGATATCTATTTTGTAATGTTTCATATTTAATATACAATAATAGACATTATTACTATTTTGTAATAATACATAATAAATATATTTTTAATTTAATTGAAAAAATATTTGAGTTCATCTCGGTTATTTCAGAAAATACGGTTTCCGTCTTCTTATTTTCTATCACGCAAGGGCATCAGCCCGCGATCAACTTTCGTATTCTGTTTCGAATCCTCCACTCAACAGTCTTGTTGTCAAAACAGGTACTGGAACGCGATGCGATTCTAAGCCGATACGAAATGTACGAATCTCTCTTTTTAGGGATTCGTACCATTCGAATCACTGGAAGGGTTCGTATCAATGATACGAATCCTACCCATGTCTATCTCTTACGGTTACGGTCTGCATGCTATTATTCTACTAACAAAGAAACGTATTTAATCATTGTCTAGGGTGCAGATAACTTTTTTTTTCCAGTTTTAGTTACCTACTTATGGTTATTTTTGTTAAGTTTTTCTGTTTAATATATGTTTATTTGTTTTTTTTACACTTTTTTATTTGCCAAATGTTACAAAGCAATAAAAAACACGAGCATAGTTTTATATTATTTAGAGAATCGTTAAATAATCGGTCAGAAGGATTGAACAAGAATAAAATATTGAGAAATACGAGATTAGTATTGATATACCAGAAATTTCAGTTTTTCTACCGGTATTTATTAATATTCATAAATTGCATTTTGCATAAAATGAACATATACAATTATTGAAATTTTTTTTATTGACAAAAACCAGGAACCATTAGTAATTTATTACTTAGTAACACGGTGAAATGCGAATTATGGATTTGGTTCTTACATTTTTAAAGCGATGTTTAGAGTGCAAACACACATACTAAATTATTCCATCCGAATTAGATTATTGCTTTGTATATAGGTTATTTGTAAGTAAAAAATAATTGGTAAAATTGAAAAAAATAGGCAAACTCAAATTAAATACGCTTCATTTTACTCAATATAAAAGAAAAATACGAAGAGCTTCTGAAGAATTTAATAATTGATAAATTTTCATATAATGAAAACTTTGAATGCAAAATGTTCCTAGCCCGTGTTTCCTCAATTGTAATCTGTTTGCTATTACTACTCCACTTGTGGAATTATTTCCTATGCATCGAAAATAGAAAAGCAGTAATTTATATTTCATGTTTTATTTTAACTTGTAATATACAAACACAATGAATACATACAAAAACATAGTATCAAATTTGTATAAAACCATATATGATCCTATCTAGAAAAATTAAGAGGTTTGGACGGAAGCGTAATGTATTTATTCGCTATTAGTTAAATCAAATTAAACATACAGATGCGCCAACAAGTACATAAAACTTGGATTATAATCTCCAGCATTGAAAAAAATTAATGCAGCTTATGCTTCAACTTATAACTCCAATCATTTCTGCAGTTTTATACAAAGTTACATAATTAATCAAGATGACGGTGTTGATGTTACATTTTTAAACATCCTGAATAGTTAGAAAATGTAAAACTGTACGTGGTAATTTGCCACAACTAAATAATTTTTTACTTGCTTAAAGAAACCGTTATCCAGGCTGATCTGTTGGTTGTCGGTCGCCCTTTTGAAAATTGCATTCAAACAAATCGCACAAATACGTTGTATATATTACTGCCAAAACAAAAGTCTATCAGGGTTTATTAGGTAGTGATATGGAAATATAAAAGGAACTGTCGTTTAAAGCTAAAACATAGTTAAAAAGCTTATTGTAAGTTGAAATTTTTATATCCCGGTCTTTGTTCGTCTGTGTGTTTTTAACGATAGCATCAATCGTTGAAAGATACTCTATATTTTTAACTCAGCTTTAACAACTTATTAGCATTTGTGGACTGACGCTTTTACTTGCAAAACTTATATTTACATGCGGTTATAAAAATAGTAAATCTTTCGTATTGATTAGGTTATATAAATGGCGAACACGAATAATTTACGACAACTTCTCTTAAATATAACGAACAAATATACAACATAGAAAATATAAAATATGCAGGTAATATTGCAAGTGTTTACAACCCGCAAAACACTAAGATACTTTGGCAATAGTTAAACGAAAAACTAACAAAAATAGCCATTTTGACCACAAATAAAAAGTACGTAACAGTAATAAGTGATAGATAAATAAATTATCTTCACAGCTGAAATTAGATCAGATTGGTTACTTTTTGTTGAATTAATTAATTTTGAATTCATAAGTATCCAGCTATAAAATATTTTTATACGACGTTTCATAAAACACGATTAATGCCGATAAATATATTAGTACTCTGATGGAGATGTTGAATTATGGATGAATTCTGGGTAAATTCTATATCTCCAGCACTAATTTATTTAAGTCCTCTTTAATTTCTTGGATTTGTGCGCTTATCAGACGAATTGATTTTACTGCTGTCCTATTGAGTACAAACCTACTTTTTTTGCCATTATGACTAATTTCATCAGTTTTCGGTTCAAGTAAATTTTACTTTTGGACTGGTTTGTTTTAATGTTAAACAATATTTTGACAACTTTTGCACTGATTGATTCTAGTACAACTAAACTAGTGGTAAATAGTATGTTTAAAGCGGTAAGGTTTTTCTGAAAGACATTCAGGAAAGTTAATTTACGAAGCAACCGTTTCTTAACGCAAAATACGACTAAATCTAACATTTTTAATTGACTGTGTCGGGGGTCATTTGGTTAAAATGGAATATTCTTAAACTTTACAACAAACAAACTATTTTAAACATCGCTTAAACTATGCAACCTAACTATAAAGCTCAGGTAGGAATGTTAAATTCAAATTCATAGTAGCTTTTTTCTGATTTTACTAATAAAAAAACATTTACATACTATTTTAAAAGTTTTACTGGTACAACTCAAAATGTTGGTATGTGCTTTTCTTTAATACATTTAATGAATTTCGCCATGCGGAATTGATATAACATAGAAGAACTTACCTAATGGTTTTTAACAAATAATAAACTTCACTTTGGACGGGTTAGTACTGATACGAAATTCTCAGCTAATTTGCTATCTGTTTTTCCAAGAAAATTCCGTATCAAATCACACTTCTATTACACATTTCTAAAATTATTTTAAAGGCACTAAGTTTTAAAGGCCTTCGACAGATCTATAATATTGACAGTCTTTAGAATTCTCCAGAGGGAGTTTTTTTATTCTAATAACTAAAAAATGTACATACCAATAGGCATTTAAATCGCGATTTGTTTCCTACCTCCTATCATAAACTCCGAAAACAATGGCTAACAGCATAAAAACAATTAGAATATTACTCTGAATACTGGCAGCTGCTGCTAATCTGCACCTAAACATGTCAAACCTTGTTTCGTTGTTGTCCACTAAATTCGTGAATTCAGCTTCCATTATTTGACCATCGTAGTAGGTGATATCGTCTTCAAATGGATATTCAAAACCTTGCTTGCACTCGCATTTGTATCCTCCACTCTCGAACCCTCGACCCAAAATTGGAACACACTGAAACAATTTCATGGTATATAGATTTTTAAAGTGAATTTAACTTAAGTCTTTCATGTTTTGACTAGTCCGTTCAAGGGCCCTGAAAACCACATGTTCACTTTAGATAGTAGGTAAACTCTGAAGATTTCGTAATCCCAACGGTTTTTTTTGGTTTATTTAACTATATATTTTTGTTACTTACATATGATGTTCTTTCGTCGCATTTATGAGTGTCTTTGAATGCATTTGGAACGTAAAATTTATCTGGACATTGTTTAATATCCAGTTTCAACATGTCCATAGTAACTGCTACTACACCCCTAAAATGAAGAAAATATCGTTTGCTTAAAATCCTGATTTTTATCTGAATTTGAAGAATATTTGGATTCTAGTTTTCAATGAATATTCATTTTCATTTGAAATTAATTTCAAATATGATGGATGTAAATTTGTCCATAATTTTAAATTGTTTCTGAAGATGTGCTGTACATTTTTGTGCTTTCTTGAACGGATTACAACATTATAATTAAAACAAAACAATTTAAATATTTCAAGTTGATGTTCTTAACTTATCTGGATTAGCGTCTGCTCATAGTGAAAAATTTGTTTAACTAAAGTTTAAAATGTTTTTAATTGTTGTTGGACTGGATTTTCTGCACCTTCTGAAGATGTTTTTGCTATTTTTTATTTTGGCTTTATCAAATTTGAAAGAAGAAGCTCCAATATGTGGATGAATTCAAAACAACAAAAGTTTCTATTCGAGGCAAGAAGTTGGATGTTTTCTTGAAGTTAAAAAGTGCTCTTTAATAGTAGTTTCGTTTTTCAATTTAGACACTTCCAAATTAATATCGTTTTTGCGTGGATTAAAAAAACTTACTTAAACTCGAGCTTGACTTTCAAACTATCCCATCCAAAGAATGGTGCAGCATATTTAATTTTCCACATGGGAACCTTTCCTCTACAATCGAAATATGGGGCGCTCCAGTAGCCATGATGTAAGCGTGCACCCATGTAGTGATTCGGATAGTGTTCATACTTTCTAGTCGTTTCTCCAGTTTCGTTGAAGCGCACCCTAATTTTTAGCCAGAATTTCTCCAAACTGTCGAAGTTGGAGGCCCATCGATGCTTTAGGAATTTGAACCACGGTTTGTTCAAGTATACCTCGTCTGATTTATTCAGTCTGGCCAAATCTTCCATATGAAACTGTCTCACATTGAGTTGCTTCTTGTAGGCGTACGGGGCAAATAGGGTTTTGTTGGTGAATTTGTTCCGCTCCCAGTACGTGCCAGCCGACCAAATTCGATTGTTGCCCAAGATCATAGCCAGTGTTTCGCCCATCATTTGGTCTTCGGTTAGTGGTTTGTCTGCAACGCGTTTTCCCGAATACACTTCTTGTGGGTCTGATACTTGTAGAAAAACGCTGATAAAGTTGGCCAATCGAAGAGCCATTTTGGCTTCATTTTCGAAGAATTCTTCCGCTCCAAACATAGCACCTAAGAGAGTAATAAAAGTTTGCATAGTAAACAGTTTCCAATGATCATTTAAAAAAATATGTTTCAAGCTTCACAGTTTTACAGAAAGCGTTATTTTAGGAAAATAATTTTTTATATCAAAGCAAGTTCAAGCAAACATTTTGTTGGGTGGTTGTTTTTTTTTCGAGATTGCACGGTATTTTCCGAAAAATTTTTGATATTCTGAGAAATACTTTTCTTAAATAAGCACATATATATACAATACACACAAGTACACCATACAACATTTCACTCCTAGGTAGGACAATTTGTTACAAAAAACGCTCCAAATGAACATATTTGACAAAATCTTACCTCCATGCAGAATGAGTTCATCCGGTTTATATTTCTTACAGTTCTCTTTGTTCATTCCCAATATAAACTCCAGTGTTTTGTGTATATTGATATTGGGTTGTTTCAAAGACTCAGGACCTCGAACAGGGAATCTATATTCCGGATGTCTGTCTAATTCCATTTCTCGCACATACCACGGCGCTTTTTCCCACTTGGCTGGAAGTTTTTGAATCCAACCGATTTTTTTGCATTCGAATCCATTATAGTACTGCTCTTCCGTTGCCCTCTCAACGATTTCACCCAAAAATGGTCTTCGCACTTGTAACGGTAGGCGATAGCCCGGACGACATCTGCATTGGTAACCTCCTCTCCTAAAGCCCCATCCATGAATCGGTTCACACTGTAAAGGGATTTTGTTGTAAATTACTAACGATTTTTTTTAAATATAGAGCCATTATATCGTACTTCGGTTGTTTCCTTTTTGCATCTTGCAGTGTCCACAAAAGCATTCGCCTTGTCATTTCCAGAAGCCTTCGGACATTGATTTATATCTATACGATCAAAATCCATTTCAACTACCGATGCAGCTGTGTATCTAAAAAAATACATAGAATTTACTAAATTCACTCGTGTTCAGAAATTATTGAAACTTTCATCATTATTTTTTGACTTTATACCCTGTTTATTTTTTCGCTAGGGAGGAAGTCTTTTAATTCAATTAATTCGCCCTTCAACGTTGTTTTCGTTCAGCGTTTTGAAATATTTTATTTTTTTACAGATTACAGGCCCCTTTATGAACGTATTTTAAATAACACTTAAACAGTCGTGTATCATTAAGTTGCGATTTCTCTAGTGTCGCGTTTCTGTAGATTTCTCGATAGAATTATGAACATTCTTGGAAGTCTGTAGTTCGTAGAGCGCATTGATTTTCAGTTCCTTAAGCTGACAGGATTTTCACTTTTACTCCTAAACTTCAAATGAACAAACTGGAAACTGTCGGTTTTAAACAACTTCAATCTCAAAACTCAGTTGAACTCAGAAACTCGCTCAAAAGAGAACATTTTTACCAAAAATTTCTGTTAAAAGGCAGCTTCATTAAATGCTCGATTGCAATTTGGCTTATTTCGCAACCATAGTCGGCTGATTGGCAATATTTAAATTCAAAAACATAAATATTTCTAAGGTCATTAAAATGAAGTTTTTGCGATACTCCTTGCGTTTAAGTAGAGGATGATAACAAGCAGTGTTTCAGTTTAGTGGAGCTGTTTCTAAAGGCATATTTTCATTGCTTTTAAAAAAAGGCTCGGCAAGTTTTGAAACAAACCCCGCCTCGTGTAAGTCCTTCATTTCTTTCTTGTAAAAGGGCTCGTAAATTGCTCGCAAGCCGGATGGAATTAGATAAACCGAAAGACTAAAAGTTGATTGTTTCTAATCAAGTTCAGGTTCCAGACAGTTTCAGCCATATTCTTCACTCTGCATTTTTGAAATATTTGGGAAGAAAACAATAATTTGCTTTCGCTTTGAAAACGGACTCTTGGTGATGTTGTCGTTCCTCAGATTTGAGTAAAATTAGCTACTATTCTAGCTTCCCATGGTAATTTCTTATATTAGTGAAAGTTTGTTTTTGTTTTAAAACTTACGTGGGATATTCTACATGTCTAAAGCCGGTATGTCGAGGAAAAATGTCTGCAATGGGCACTACAGCGGCCACCAGCCACCTATTTGATCGCCCACAATCGAAATAAGGGCGAGTGTATTTGACTGGACCTGGATTTTCATCTGCACCTGGTGGGCCGTGGAATGCAAACGTTTCGTTTGTGTTATTGGCATAACGAATTTCCACCTGTAAAAGATAGCAAATGAAACTGAAGCGAATAGTGCATTTCCGTAAAAGCTAAAAGTCTGAGTTTAAAGAAGTTTTCAGTCAGTTTTATTGTTATGTGTTTATGCATAAAATGATTTGCGGAATTTTAATGAGCAAAACTAATTTTTGATACGGGAGGTTTTCTTCATGTCATGTTCATATTGCAGGGTCGATTCCCTAACTAACTGTATGGAGAAAAGTTTACGTTACGAACACAATCCAGTAACGATTTAAATTGTGCCCTGAACAAAAAAATGTTCCGTCTTACATGCAACTTCTCAAGTATTAATTTCATGGTTCAATCAAAGAATTTAAATTGAAAATAAATTGAATTGTTTTCGTTTATTTCGTTAACACTGTTTTACCTGATATGTAGTTTTGGTATCGTGTCTAGAATTGACTTTGTCTGGCAGCCAAGCTTTAAACCATTCGTTGATCCGAAAATATTCGGACGTATAGTCTGCACTAGTATTGGGTGTAATCGCTCCCAAATCATACACGGTAAATGTATTTAATGTGGAGATGCGCTCCAAATGTATTGGGTCATTAAAATCATCAGCACGGAACGTTCTGGGCGCAAATCTATAAAATAAGAAAAAATATTGTAACTTTTTATTACAGTAAATTTTTGAATTGTTCAACATAATTTTTAACACATTTACAATTTTTTTATTATGACCAAAGTTAAAGGAACTGCGCAAAATATAGATTTCATATGGATTATTAAATTTTGTTATTATTAGTAGATCTTCAGTTAATTTTAACTTCTTTATACGTTAGCTGTTGCAAAAATTACTCAAATCAGATAGATACTTGAATATCCGTCTACAACTTCGGATATTGTAGATTTAACGACAAATAGTACTAAACACATTTATCTAGTTTTAAAATACAATTTCAGTCAGAACTTCAATGTTGCATCCATTGCTGACATTTAAAGGACATTAGGTAATGTCCGTAATTAGACCCTAATTGGCTAAAATTCCAAAATAATGGGTCAACTTTAGTTAAATGGGATTCGTATTCAATAATTTCAAAAAACATTGTTATTATTTAAAATTCAAATGGTTTCATATCCACAAAAATATATTCCAAATTCTATTTTGTGAAAGGTGAAAAATCAATTTACGAGAAAGAAACAACCGGTATAGTTTGGAAAACGTATCTAGTTTAATAGAGGGTGTAACAGGAAACACACACATTAAATAATTACTAAATACTCTCTTGAATCTCTTTCTTTCGGAAAGCAAACTCAATAGTGAAAACCGAAAATTGCCTACGGTCTGTCAGGTTTTAAGTTATAAATTATAGCTCCTTTTTCAGTTATAAAATTATTTTAATATTTCTTTTATAGTCTTATCATAATAAATAAGCCACAAATTAAATATTCCAATTTATGTAATCCCACATTTTAAGCAAATCCACATTAATAATTCGCTGATGAATATGTGCAAATATCAAATCCAAAACCAAAAAAATGTCAAAAGTATAAATGATTTGAATGAATATTTACCATGATTGGAAAAAAAATTGCGGAAATTCTAGACAGCTGGAAAATACGTGTTTAAGTTTTGCAAAAAATAGTTAAATAGAAATTACATTTCAAAGTCCGTGGATTTTGCAGAAAGGGCGCTAAACATTTGTATTGGGTAAATTAAAGATTCCGTGTACTTAAACACCTTTAATATATACCATATGCATCATAATGAAACAATCAGCTAATCAATTTAAAATTATATATTTAATCGGATTCTTAAGCTATTGACTTAAGTGCTTTAAAAAACATGTTTTATGTGCATAAGTCTCAAGTATTTGCACTTGCAGAAAACTGAGAAAAGTTAAAAAGCTTGTCGCAGAGCTACTTATTGAAATTTATATATTTCTCGAAAATGGTATAAGTTATCTGTCTGGGATAGATTGAGCAAATAGAGGAAAGTGAGGCTAAACTGTTGGACACTTTTTCTCCTCTTTTGGGTTCATTTTTGGTGTGTAATGTAATCAAATGTAATAATCATTTTTAATCATGAAAAAATACTCTTATCTACATTTCCAGAACTCAATCTGCACTTTTTTCATTAAGTATCGCTTATAAAATAGCTGTATCTAATAATTTAGTTTAAAACTTGGACAGCTTAAACATTATTTATTATTTACTTAGAGGTGGTATTAAGTACTCGGTCTTAAAGCGAGGTATTTGCGCTAGTCGAATATATATTTTTATAAATAAATGAAATGACTTATACCCTCTCTATGTTAAATATTCGGTAAAAAATTTAAATTTAAAAAAAATCTCGCAAAAAAGTCTAAAATGAATATGATGTAACCCCAAGAAATTTATATCAAATTTTGCTCTAAAAAAATTTTGGTAGTTTTCTTCTATCGTAGTATCAAATTTTGGCGAGCTCAAACTGTATAAAATATATGTTTGGGTTAGTTTGAAGTCGATTTTTCAGATACTATTTTTAGAACTTTGCTGTCGATCCTGTGAATCCAATAAAAAATTCCTGTTTCCAGAAAGAAAGGGTTTTGTGACCCATGTTTGAAACTTTTTGAAATTTTTGCTTCTTAAAACATTTTATCCAGGCGCTTGTCTCTGATATCTTTAAGATGCGTTAAGTGCGTTTTCTCGCAATGTTTGTCCCCAGGTGATTGAAATTCAAATTTGCAATGAAAAAAATATGTTGCCGTACCGAAAATTTGGAAGAATTTCTCCTAAATTAAATGTCCTGAATAGTGAATTATTTATATTTTTTTTCAATGGTGAAAGATGCCTGTTGAGGGGTTTGGGTTGATCGGTCAGTAGATAGCAAAATTATTTTTCAATTGTCATAATCCCTAAAATTAAACCCCAATACACACCTTGGAAAAGTCTTATTGAAAAAGCCCTTATAAGAGCTGGAATAAGACATGTTAGGTGAAAAGTATATGGCACTGGCATTGATGTGATGATTGGTGGAAACATCCGCAACAGTGGACAACAGGTAGTACATCATGCCGGGATCATACGTGTCATTAATGGCAGGTCGAATAAATCTGCTTTGCAGAATGTATGACCAAAAAAAAGCCCTATTCAATGCCATATTATGCATGTGCAGTAATTGAGTCCTGTTGGGGAATACCGGGTTAATATTGACATCTTTGATGTCCGGCAAATGAGACACAGTATCAGGAGGCAGGAAAAGATCTCCTACATGTTGAATCTCGCAATTGCCTTTGTTGGTCGCCTTTATGGCTCTCGAGACTTCGTCGAAGGCATCGCGAGTTTGCCACTCGTATTGTCCGTTCGCGATAAACACAAAACACCCACCAAAGAAAAAGACCAGCCACTTCATGGTCCTTTTTTCTGCTTCAAACTTTTTGCACTAAAACATTTTTCTTTAAACCGAGGGTTTGTGCGTTTAGGGCGAATTAATTAAAACGCGTTTGATTGGGTCGTATCAGGTAAATATTTCCAGTTTCGACCCAACCCAACCAGAGCTTCAGTCTATGGTCGCTTTTATTTGTCCGTTCGTTTGCTGTTATGGGCCTTTGCGGTGTTGCCCATTTGATTGGGGAAAATTCCTGCGTTTAATCGAAGTTATTATGTCACAGGGGTGGCTCTGCATCCAAGGGCGTTGAGCCTAGCAGGAATTATTTAACCCGCATCCCGATTCCCATAGAAAGTGTTATACCACATGTAGCAAAGGGTCAACACATTTCTTCCCTCGAGCGATCATACAGCTCATTATCCTTGATTAGAAGTGCAAAGAAACGCAAGAATGCGAGTGCAAGAATTTAATATCTCCTCCTTCGTGCAACCGCCAAATACCAATTTTATAATATGTGATATAGAGAGGCAAATTAATCAAGTTTGATGAGGAGTCCAAATAAAACCCAAAAGTTTGAGAAATTCAAAGGAGTTGTTTTTTTGAATTTCACTTAAGTTAAACCCCGTAAGCAAGATTGCAACTTCCTTTTTTTAATTTTTGCACTCGGTTTGATGAGATGGAAAAGCTAAAGGTGTTCAAAAAGTCTGAAAACGCTTATATATCGCAAAATACGCTTTGGAGCCAAAAAAAACACACATCAGATAATCTGGAAGAAGCCGTCAAATGATGGCAAAACGAATCATCCCACCTTATATAATGCGAATCGGCAAAGAAAATGGGGCATTTTTATATAAGATCAGGTATGGCGAATTTATCCTGGTATCACTTGATAGCTTATTCCAAATTATCAGGTGGGTGTTTGTAGTTTTGAACACCCTGTATAGATTTTATCAATAGACAATTATCTAGCTATCAATTTGAACTGACAGAGTGTGACTTTTAATGAAATATAGACATAAATAATTCAGCCAGAATCTATGGAAGAATGTGTAATAATTTAAAGGAAATAAAACAAAATAAACCTTTTAAAAAACACATATTTATTCAATAGATGGTAGCAAATAGATATAAATTGTCACGAATGAAACCCGAAATTATAAACGATCAACAAAAAAGACCAGGGACTGGAACAACCCCCTAGATCATTTATTTAAAAAATGGTGAAAAGTGGTAAAAACAAAACTTTTATTATTATTCAGATTTTCAAAATATGAAATTAAACGTAAAATAAATGACGCAAATTAAAAAAATAATAATTTGGGTCGTTTTCAATAGTTTCAATAGGACACCTATGCCCTTGTGTATTTTTAGGCAGATCGATAGGATTCTTTTTCCTGATTTCAGAAATATTTATGTTGCCTAGATTTGTTTTAGCCGTTTTCTTTATATTACGTTTTAAAAATTACAAATAGCAAAAAATTAAAGTAATCTTGAAATAATACAAACGACCAAAAATTATAGAAATAATCACTACATTTATTGCTACTATAAATTATAAGAAAATAAATGAAAACGAGTTATTTCCATTTGCCTTTATATATTTTCTATAATCAATTTCAATTTTATCTTTCTTTTGTCTATCTATGTTTTGAATACATTGATTATGATTCATATTAATATTGTTAGGTACATGCATCCACTATTCTAAACCGTAAATCATCAAAATTTGTAACTGAACTTTCATGCACAATAATCTCTAAATAACCCCAGAGAAAAGAGTCAAGAAGCGTTAAGTCAGGAATATTAGAGGGCCATGACCAGCTCGTCCAACCCAGATATCAACAATTTCATTTATAAAAAGTCTTACCGGGCGAACGTTGTGGTGTGCATAGAAAATTTTGTCACTAGCAATAGTTTTGACGTTCGCAAAACCGTTTTTCTACATTCTTAAATGTGTTTTAACTATGCAACAACAGAATAGGCATAATTATGCTGTTGATTTCTTACCTTTAAAACAACAATTAGTTTTTTTCATACGACATTAAAAGGGTTAATAAATGTATTGGAGTTCAGGTTCAACAATTATTATAAAATAATAATTTTCAAAGATTTTACTGAATTTAAAAATAGCTACAAGTCAACAAATATTAAAATGCAACCATAAAATATCATTCCATCAAGCAAAAAGTAATATAAGTGTTCTCAAAAATCTTAATTTAGCGTAGAACTTCATTATTATTCGCAGTCACAATATTTAAATAATAACTGCAACTGATTGTCATCGGGTTGCTTCCCTATTCCCTCTTAAAATGCAAGCTTCTGGATGCGACATTATTCTTGCATTATGATTGCTTTTAAGCTAAACCCAGCTGATGAAGGCTAATAGGTCCGAAATTGGTCCTGCTGTGCTTGCTTGTGATACAGCCAAAAAAGTGATCAATATATCACACATTTATAACTGAAGAATCAGTCGACGAAACTATTCCGATCATTTTTTTATCTGACCATACAGTTTTTAAGCTCAAAAACTGATAAGAAAATAGGTCTGGACTAGAACCAAGAGTCACGTCTTAAGCCTAGTTCTCATAAGCGAATGTTGGAAAAAAATTCCGAATAATCGGACGATTTGACAGGTGTTGGAAGAAGTTGAAATTATTCCAACTTTTTCCGTTTATTCGGAAATTCGGAGGAATTTTATACAACCCAGATAGATTTTTCAACGAAGACCGGAACAAGTAGCGTATTATAATTTATTCAAGGAATGTGCCTTCAAGATCGAGAAAAACATTTCAATTACATGGGAATGTCGAAAGAATTATTCGATATTTTATTATCAAAGTTATCAATTCAAGTTGGACCTCATATTACTAAAAACTGTAAAAGCCGATATCCTATACATGCAGGAGAAAAATTAGGATGCACTTTACGCTGTGTACACGTTCAGTGTAGATTTTATTCAATTTTTTCAAGCTGAGCATATGCTTTACGTATTACCGAAACTCCTGGGTCGAATGTCAAAAATTGAATAAAATCTACACACTTGAAAATACTTTTTCTTCGTTTCTTTAAAATTAAATGTGATCAATATTTGTATATAATTGTGTAAATTTACATGTTTTTGGCTTCGGGGGATAGTATGGTTTCCGTGTCCATGCATTTCGTGTGGGCCATAGATAAAGACTATAGCATAGATAAAGGCTGATAGATAAAGACTTCTAATATAATAAATAAAGGCGGCTAAACTTTGGCGAACGACTAGCGAGGGAACGAAACAGTGGGCTTTTACCAATCACTGTTACCAACACGATGAGTCAAAATTATTGCTTTTTTCAGCAAGAAATAATCGCATATGAGAACTATTGAATTTCAACTTTTTCCGACATCTCATCCCGTCAAATCGTCCGATTATTCGAAATTTTTTTCCGAAAATTCGCTTAAGAGAACTAGGCTTTATTGACGGTTTTTCCGAGCCAATATGACGTGATCTGAAGGCAGCATTCTGGTCGGGCACTTGCGATTTTTCGAAGTTTCAAGTTTGGTTTCGGAATGTCGTTATTGAGGTGTTTTCTACTTCCAGATGTTTTAATGCATTTTATATGTTCTGACAATATTCTGATACTCCCGGAATGGTTTTTCTTTAAATACCTTTTTCTACTCTTGCAGAATTAAAGTACGCAGATTTTATGAATTTTTCCCATAAGTTTAGAAGGTATATTGTCTACAAGCAACCACTTCAATCCATCATTCAACAAAACACAGAAACTAAACGATTTTTTATTAGTTATCTTTGCGCCCTGTACATATCGTTGGTATTGGCAACCTGGCATATCTTTGTGTAATTGACCTGTGGACTTGAATTGTGGTGGATTATCATGATTCACACAATTCTCATAAGCATTTGGTATTTTTGATGTAAATGTTTAATCATCCTACTCGTGAAAGTTGAAGGTGGAGTTTTTTTTTTCAAACGAGAATGGGCGCCAGTTTATTTTATTTAACAAAATCGACTGTTGATTTTGTACGAAATTAGGCAATGTATAATTTGCAAGGGTACAGGACTATGAGTAAAAATTATTCAACCTGTCAGTGCGCCACTGAAAACAGGCAACCAACAAAACACGCGACTCAATTATATCTCACCACTGAGCTTCTGAAGCAGTTCGGTACAAATATGTGTAAAATGCTGTTGGGTTTAGGGTCCTGCCGAGTCCGATGATCGAAGACACGTACAGAGTGCATGTCACTCGAAACTTCGAGAAAGGTCCCCGGACCTCGGGTAGAAAGTACCGCCGGTTGTTACCGGTTAGCTGCGCTCTACGCCGCGTTGACTGCCAGGGTGTGGTACCGGTAGGAGCGTGGTGTTTGTCATAGCACAGTAATGTTTGGAGTCCTATTCGTCAGATTAGGATTACACAACGGGGCCTACTCCGGCAGGACTCTTTTTTTCACTTTTTGCATCCGATACGCATCAT